ACACGCTTTTATAGCTAATGGAACTAAAAGTAGAAAATAATTTTTAATCACCATAGTAGATGGTCGAACAATCATAATTAATGACCAATACAATTTTAATAAAATTTATGTTATTAACAGAATAATTCAATTCCGAGTAAAAAGCATGGGGTGCTTGCTGAACTTGTTGAAGTGCCCATGACCAAGGCTGCCAGCGTGTTCCATCAGTAAATAAAGCATTATAAATGAACCCGTCAAGTGCATGTAGTCCGACGAGCGCGTTGTTTTGATTGCCCGCGAGACAAATTGATGCTAATTCAGTCATCTCTGATAATTGTTACGCGGACGGAAAGACGGACAGCATAGTTCGATCGGCCGTTGGTTAAGAGAGGCGTTCTAACAGGTCACGCATGTACAACCTCGAGTAATCGCGAAAAATTTCGAAATTGAAATATTATACACAAAAGTTACTAAAAACTTCATGGAGAAAATGCGATTATATAGTATAGCATCTGGAGATGCATACTTCTAGTAACATTCGATGATCTAGGTCATCTAGGGTACTTGGCTCTGCGGTTGCGAGGCCTCTCGTCCGGATCGTAGTCCATGAGGAGTCGTAGCTGCTCGTTCGGGTGGTCCTGAGCTTTCTGGAAGGTCTTCTCCGCTTTTTTCCTCATGTACTCGTGAATGGTGTCCCAATGCAGGTCTCTACGCAAGGTTGAGTTTCTTACGTAGGATGGTGCACTGGTGGCGATCCGGAGTAGCTGACTGTGTGATCCTCTTAGTAACATATTCTGCATATTTAAACGTCCCTCTTAATGAGATCGATTCTGCACCGGCCAATGGCGATGATGACGATAATGACAAGCCAACCTTTTTAATTAGGCCATCCGAGTCGGCGACACATACGCGGGCCGATGACCGACATGCACTGTTTTTTCGTACGTCTGCTTTATCAGATGAGCGGCGGCGTTCGGAGGATGCAGAAACAACGGCACCACTGATTAAGTCAAATCAATCATATCGATTTTTTATTCCGATTTGTATTAATTAGTGCCGGCAGAGGCGGCTTGGAGATACGATACGTATTTAAGGTTATAAAATGGAAACCAGTCTCGGAATAAATTATAGTTAAAGTAGAAAATAATTTGTTACTGCAGTAGAAAGTCCAACAATCCAGTAATGATTAATTAATTTGGAATAAGATCAATATAAAAATAATTAAAAATCAATCATGGTAAAAAAGCGTGGGGTGCTTGATATTAAATGTTATAATTATTTTTTAGTTGCTATTTGCAAAATTGGAGTTATTATGAATTTTTTTAATTAATTTTTATATTGATCTTATTTAAAATTAAATTGTCATGATTAATTTTTGGACTTTCTAGCAGCAACACAAACTCTCATATCCTTGAAAATTATTTTCTACTTTTTAGTTCGATTTGCTTTCAAAGCGTGCTTTTTTAGATTTTTAAACTATAATTCATTTTCAGTTTCAAAACGACAGCACAATTACTTATTAGATTTTGGAATATTTTAATTTTTCGAAATTTTTAAATTTCCGAATTCTCCATTTATTATCATGTTTTTAAATAATTTTTTGTTTTTACAAATTTCACAATTCAATTGTTTTCCAATAATATTGTATTGTATTGTTGCATCGGCACTTGACCTTTTGAACATTTTCAAGTTAATTAGACTTTCTATGTAGTACCACAAACTCTCCTATAATTGACAGCAAAATTACTTATAATCAACAGCTTCGATTTTTGGTATATTTTGATTTTATCCAAATTTTTTTTCAAATTTCAAAATTCAATTTAAAAAAAAATCAATTTCCAATTTTTTTCCAAGAATGTTGTGTTGTCAACGTCACTCGACCCTATGCAAATTTTCAAGTTGATCAGGGGGGGGGGGTATCGCAGATTGAAAATTGCCGTCGTTAATTAAAAAACATGAAATTTTTTAAAACTATGATATTTCGGCGGGTGTCCCAATTCCCTGGACACCCCCCTGGATCCGCCACTGATATACAGGGTGTTTCAGTTTATTGTTGCATAACTTTAAGATTCGATAGAACTTTTAACATAAAAAAGCTCTCTTGTGAATTTTCGTTATAGTTAGCCGTTTTTGAGATATTTCGATTTTTAAGGTTTGATGCATTTTTAATTATTTATGATAAAATAACGTTAAAAAGTCAGTATCTCGATAATTTTTAGAAGTAGGGTGTGCCTGCAAATATTTTTGAAATTGAAAGCAGAATAAGGTTAAACGTCAATTAGTTGACAGTTAGTTTTGTTGTCTGTTGAAACCTGAAACGTTTTTTTGCAATTGTGAATGCTCGAAATTTAGTTTCTTTTACATGTTTTTTTGTAAGTTTTATAAAAATGCCATTTTTATTCTCCAATCAAGAGTTAGCGGATATTCATTTTGTGTATGGCTTTGTAAATGGAAACGCAGCAGAAGCAGCCAGAGAATACGCACGAAGATTTCCAAACACACGACATCCAACTCGCTCAGTATTTGTAAGAGTGCATCGCCAAATAATTGAAAATGGTTTTGGAAATCTCCAAAGGGATCAAAACATAAATGTTCGTCAGCGCAGATTTACCCGTATGATTCTGCGTGAGTTTGATAGAGATCCGACCACAAGTGTTAGGAGAGTTTCTGGAGCCTTGGGAATTTCAGCAAGCCATGTTCACCGTGTTCTTAGAAATGACCATAGACGTCCTTACCATTTGCAACCTGTGCAAGGACTACAGCCAGGGGACGGAGAACGAAGAATCACATTTTGTCAGTGGATTCTTGATAGAACTGATGATAATAGGGAGTTTTTAAGTAATGTTTTATGGACCGATGAGTCATGCTTCACTAGACGTGGAGTGGTAAATTTTCATAATCAACATATTTGGTCGCATGAAAATCCGCATGCAGTTCGGGAAAGAAATTTTCAGCATGAATTTAGTGTGAACGTGTGGGGATTGGTATCTACCGTAATCGACTATTTGGACCCTACCTTTTGCCAAAAAGGTTAAATGCTGCGACCTTCTTGGAATTTTTAAAGGCTGAACATGCAAATATGTGGGATGATGTTATGTTAGATTTAAGAAGATTGGCCTGGTTCCAGCTTGATGGTTGTCCAGCTCATTATTCGAGAATAGTTAGAAACTGGCTGGACGAAAATTATCCAGAAAGATGGATCGGCCGTGGAGGACCAGTTTCTTTGTATGGGGATTTCTAAAAGAAAAAGTGTACCAGACTCCCACAACCACAAGAGATATGCTAATAGACAGAATCAGGAATGCATGTGATGAAATAAGGCACCACGTTCGATCATTCGTAGATGTGAATTGTGTATTGAACAATTGGGTTTACATTTCGAGTAACTACTTTAGATTTTGTATGTTTGTCCTAACTATCTAATAGCATTTTAGTTGTAAATAATTAATTTAATTTGTTAAAAATAATATTCTGTTTTTTTGGGTTTATTTGGAGTTAGGAATTATTGCTGTGTTTAAAAACACAATCTAAACGATCATCTTAATTACTTGTAATGCCCAAATCGAAAATGTAAAAAAAAATATTATTTTCCCATAAATAATTAAAAATGCATCGAACGTTAAAAATCGAAATATCTCAAAAACGGCTAACTATAACGAAAATTCACAGGAGAGCTTTTTTATGCAGAAAAGTGCGAAGAATCAGTTTTTTTATTCAAAAAGCAAAAGGTTGCACTAAGAAAAAAATTTCGGTCATTTTAATACACTACAGGTACAGTAGAGAGCGCCCTCTAGCGGCTACAGTAAAAATATGCCTATGGTTCGTTTTGTCGTACCAAAAAACCCTTGTATACTAATTTTCACTGTTATACATCAAATATTGTTCGAAATATTTAAAAAAAACTATTTTAAAAAGTAAATTTAAAAACCCTGTATTTCGGAAGCCACGCATTTTTCGACCCATGTTTATATAGACTTTATGCATTAGGTAATTTTAAAAGTTCTATCGAATCTTAAAGTTATGCAACAATAAACTGAAACACTCTGTGTACATAATATATACAGATCGAGGTGATAATAGCTTTTTAAAAAGCGACCTCAAGGCCTCAACCTCGTCTTGATTTGACTGTAAGATATCACTACGCACCCTACACATCAGGAAATATATATACAGGGTGTTCCTTGACGACGTGCTAATATTCTAGGATATGATTTCCAGGATAGCTTTATGAAGAAACGCGCATGTCAACATATGCCCTTAAATTTGTTACTACAGGCCAGGGAATTGAATTTTTGTTTTTGTCTTCGAAAATACTTTAAATATTATTATTAATTTTAGCTTGTTATAAAAGGGTGTAAAATTACATATTTTAGTATAAAAACTTATTCTATTTAATTCTCAATGGCGTCCAAGCATGTCTTGTGATATCTTTTACAAAAAAAAATGATACGCCACTGTTTTTCATTGTGAATATTTTTTCTGGTTATCAGTTAACATTTTGCAATTTTAATAAAAAACGGTGCAACTAAAGAGGGCATAGTAAGAGAGAAAAAATATTTACTATAAAAAATATCAGTCTCGTGGCAATTTTTTTTGTAAAAAGTATTACGGTACATGTTTGCAGGGACGCCATAGGTGGCGTAGTAGCATAACTTTTCGCACTAAAATATGTCGTTTCATATGATTTTATAACCTGGCAAAATTAAAAATAATAACTGGATTATTAGAAAGATAAAAAAGTGAAAAACCACTTCTTTGTATTCAACTAACTCATTGGTCGCCTTTGACAGAAATGATTTGACATAAAGCCTTAATATCGTTAGCTATCCGTGGAATAGCGATACGTTTTTTATATTCGTGAGCAAAAATGATATAATGGACTGGAATGCATGAGAAGTGCTAAGTCAGCATATTTATCTGTACTTAAATCTTTTACTTTTTACTCGCCTTTGTTACATTTCATATTATAGTTATTATTTTATTGTATCCTGCAACTAAATAACATTGTTTTTCTGTTTCAGGTAAACTTAGTTCAAAATACAACTGAGGTTGAATCAGAAGCTTGCAATGGTAAGCTTTAAAACATATTCTCTATAATCAGGATATGGCAGGATTGTTTCGTTTTAAACATTTTGTTTTAAACATGTTTTAAACATTCGCTTAGGTTTAAAACAGTTTTTATTTAAAACAGTTCAAAACATGTTTAAAATACTTAAATGATACAAGCGATTTGTTTCTTCATTTTCTTTATTAATATAATGAATAAAAATAGGAAATGTTCTCAAGTACATTATACAAACTTTTTAACATAAATATTATTTGTTTATTAATAACAGGAACACAACAAAAATTGGAAAACTTAAACATTTTCCATACAAGCGTTAACAAATTCCCCACACTCTTTCAGTCTCATAGTCATCCAAGTCATCAATCTGGTATCTGATCAGTCACGGCATCATTGATGGAATTAAGCTCTTTAAAAATTAACATTTTTGAATATGTTTCTTCATACGCCATAATTACTTTACACTTTTTACATTTAGCAGTCACTGATTTTTTGTTATTATCTTTAACAACATCAAAATAGGACCAAATGGCATCTTTCTTCCTTCCTGTAGACGACATTTTTCAAAAAAAGAACACCACAAAATAACTTACAGTAGACGTTATTGCAATAACCAACTTGCAAGGCGAATTTATAAATAGTAGTCTGTGGTTCCTCCAGGCCAATAGTTCCTCATTGTCATTAGTTTTTGTTATTTCGGGGCACATCCTAACGGCGGCGTGGCGCGACGTAGTTTGTAACAGCTGATCGCGGCAGTTTAGTACAGAGTCGGACTTTAAATAAGGTATCTATTACTTAGTAGAATAATAGGTCGAAAATTTTCAATTAATATTATGAAAAAAATATGATTTAAACAATGTTTTTTCTAAGTTTTATTTGTTTAAAACAAAAAATTTAAAAACTATAAAAAAACATGTTTAAAACAAAAAAAACGTTTACAACAAAAAAAAAAAACATGTGTTCTGTACAAAATAAAAATATGTATATATGTTTTTTTCAACCCTGGGATATGGTGATATGAATTATAAATATCCTTGTTTATTGTTCGATACCAGTACATACTGAAGTCTTACCAAAATGTTTACTTAAGAGTACTTTATATCTTACGGCAAACGTAGTTCTAGGATATCTGGGTTTCTTGTTGACCGATTTTGATGCAGTTTTTAGCTCAATGAACAGATAAAAATTGGCAAGTTCGGATTAAAACTTGTTTTTTGATAGTCATTTCAATGTCAAAAATAAATTATTTTTCACAAACTGCAACGATTTTTATGGTATCTAGTAGTTTCCGAAAAAGTAAACCATGTCTTACAACCAAGTTCCAAATTTGGAGCCTCTACATTCAAAAACAATCGAGTAAATCAGGAACTACGAAATGCATTTAATAGCGCGTAGAGTTAAGGGTCAAGTCAAATTTGAAGGCAAATGCCACGTAAAATGTCTTTCTATGAGGCCGTCCTATTTATCAACAGCAAAAGATCGCCGTCGCTCATTGACTGGAGCGCAAGTAAAGAGTACAATTGATAACTGATCAACAGCCATAAAATATCCTAAATAAAATCAACAAAATATTACTATTTTTAATGTGCTAAAACCGGAATGAAACTTATTTTCTCAATATTAGTTCAAGTTTTAGAGATACGGTAATTATATGTGTTCCTGCTGTGACAGTGTTAATATACTGTAATTCACAAGAATGCACGTGCTACATTTTTATATTCGGCAAGGAAAGATGATGTAATCGGCATGATTGTGTTACGTTATACATACGTGTACATTATATTGTTTTATATTAGCCATTTTTTCCTCAGTTGGCTGACAGCGTTCATGCAAGATGTCTCGAAAGTGTGTAAACAATCCAAATCAGTTTTGTTACGTGTGTGGTGATGTGACTTTTGCGTCTCAGAGACGGTCTATTACTCCACTAATAACAAAGGCATATCAGCTTTATTTCGGTTGTAAACTAGGTGATCAAGACAAACAGTGGGCACCCCACATCTGCTGTAATACATGTGCTTCAAGTCTGAGGAGCTGGTTAAATGGCAAAAAACGGTCTATGCGCTTTGCTGTCCCAATGGTTTGGAGAGAGCCTACAAATCATATTAATGATTGTTACTTTTGCATGGTACCTTGTGTTGGACAAGCCACAGGTATGTCCAAGAAAAAAAAACGGATATTAACTACCCAAACATACCATCTGCGATGAGACCTGTGCCTCACAGTGACGAAAATCCTAAACCAAAACCCTCAGAATACTACACTTGCGAATCAGAAAACGAATCAGATCATGGGGATCGAGTGATTCGTCAGGAAGAAGATATGCCATCAACGTCAAGAGATCCTGATTTTATACCGAGCACGCCATGCCACCAACCGCACAAAATAACACAGTCAGAATTAAATGATCTTGTAAGAGATTCAGAACATCCAAAACGTAAGGCAGAGTTACTTGGATCAAGACTGCAGCAGTGGAACTTGTTAGAAGACGATGTTTCGGTATGTGTTTTTCGTAAACGCCACAAAGACTTAGAACCATTTTTCAATATGGAGAATAACTTGGTTTTCTGCAGTAACATTAACGGCTTACTGGCGGCTTTAAATATAAACTATAACCCAGAAGAATGGAGATTGTTTATAGACAGTTCAACATTGAGTTTAAAGGCAGTGTTATTGCATATTGGAAATATTTTACCATCTCTTCCTGTAGGGTATGCAGTTCACATGAAAGAATCATATGACAATACGAAGTACATATTGACATGCATAAAATACGATGAGCACCAATGGCATATTTGTGGCGATTTGAAAGTTGTTGCACTTTTACTTGGGCTGCAGCTAGGATACACAAAGTTTTGCTGTTTTTTGTGTGAATGGGACAGTCGGGCAAAGGCACTTCATTACACCAGACAAAACTGGCCTGTTCGTCAATTCCTAGAGCCAGGTCAAAAAAATGTACAGCATATGCCATTAGTAGATTCGAAAAAAATTTTATTACCACCACTGCATATCAAGTTGGGCCTACTGAAAAACTTTGTCAAGGCATTAGATAGAGATGGGTCAGCTTTTCAATACCTGCGTCAGAAATTTCCAAGACTAAGTGAGGCAAAGGTTAAAGAAGGTATTTTTGTTGGGCCACAGATTCGAAATATTTTGAAAGATACACAGTTTGAAAACACTTTAACAGGTATTGAAAAAACTGCTTGGAATGATTTCCGTCTGGTGGTCACTAATTTCTTGGGAAATAGGAAAGCTGACAACTATAAAACCCTTGTCAAAAATATGCTGTCATCGTATCAAAAGATGGGCTGTAATATGTCTCTTAAGATACATTTCCTACACTCACACCTGGACTGTTTTCCTGACAATTGTGGAGCCGTAAGTGATGAGCACGGCGAACGTTTTCATCAGGATATTTCAACAATGGAAAAAAGGTACCAGGGAAAGTGGAATCCTTCCATGCTTGCAGACTACTGTTGGACTCTTATTGCAGAAACGATCCATGAAAGAACAGCAAAAAGACAGCGCATATAGTGATTCTTATAAGTATATGAATCTTGTTACTTTTTTTAATATATCCTTAAAAATAAAAAGTTTTTTTCTAAACCGCAACTAATTTTTTTATTTCATTGTCATTTTTGGATTCAGCGCCCTAAAATTAACAAAGAAGCGCACTTTTCCCACAAGACACAATTAAAAAACTAAAATTTGTTGTCCAGTGAATAGACATCCATGAAAGAGTACGCGTTAACAAGCGGACTTGCACGGGGATGCTGCGGTGTCCAAGGTTTCTCTTTGATAGCGCCTTCTGCACCGCTTGCAACTATAGAGGACCCTAAAGCATTCTTTTTAAGAAAATATGAAGTATAACTCCGTTTATCTACAAATAAAAAGTATTTTGTTTAATCTTCACGTTTGTGATATCATAAAAAGTTACTAACCGACATGTTTTGAAAAGGATTCTCCGTGTTTAAATTAAACAACGTAAAGTTGTGCTATTCAGTTTCGTCACCGTTGTTTGACTCTTCGACGCCTGAATGAGAACCGGTGCCGTTTTGTTTCAACAGGCCAAACAATGGAGTTTAAATATAGCGTATATGTCGTTCTGTTCGGTCGATTTTATTACCTGCGGGCGGATGTCAGGAAGATATAAAACACGCCAGTGGACGATTTCACGTACATTTTCTTTTTATTCTTATTTTTCATTGCCAGCATTTCTTAGTCCGTTTATTACATTATTCATTTATGCGGGGAGAAGATGATTCTGCAGATGAAACTCCTATTGAAATTTTACAGAAGATTACAATATATTATATGAAATCACATACAGGGTGACTTCGAAGTTGAGTCATTTATTTTAACAGTGAGTAGATCTGATCAAAAGAAATGTTTTTTTCCTTTAACATTTTTCTGGTAAAATTAAAGTAACAAAGTTATAGCCCTTTGGAAGTTTGAGTACCGCCCTGTCTCAATAATAATATTATGTGCTCGTGTTTGGCGACAACGGATATAACCCGCCTTATCGGTTCATCGCATCGGAAACAAAAAAGCGAAAGAATTTGGAACGATGTTTTTACAATTATTTTATTCATTTGTATACAGTCAGTGTCAGTCAGTAACGCGTGAGAGAATAGTGGTGTCTGTTGCGTGGCTCAAACGAAATAAAAAATGGCACATGTTTATGCGGATCGGTTTCCCAATCGAGTGCAACCAACCCCTCGTGCCTTTGTTAATGTAGTACAACGGGCTCGTGAATCAGGTGACGGCATGCCGGTGCTCCAAGACCTCACGATAAAATACAGGTCCGCACTGAAATACTTGTCGGGAGGATACTTTATAAAACAAGGTGAAATTTTTTTTTTATTTTTTTATTTTTACACATTTTGGTTTATCTTCCTTCTACAATCATTATCTGAAAATTAATGACTCAACTTCAAAGTCACCCTGTATATGTAGGCTTACGTTTTACTTTCCACGCCTACTGACGCAATTTAAATCGTCTGAGAAA